TTATTAAAAACATTTTTTTGGCTCCACCATTGTAAACAAGAAAAAAAAAAACAAAGAAATAACCGGTAGCTAACTACACTAATAATTACAAATTAGGTCTTAAACCTACACAATCAATTGTCTAGTCTTACGTTTCACATTTTTTCTTTTTTTTTTGGGGGGTAAATACGTATGTTTCACATTGTTGTAATATAATATATTTAGTGTACATTGTCCTATGCAATATTGCCAACTAGTAGAGCTTTGTGCAATTTGGAAATTAAGCCCAAAGCCGAAAGGGATAGGTGAGAGATAAAGAACATGTAAAGCATGTGCAGAAGAGAAGTAAACGATGCTGATTGATTGCTGAGCTTTAGCTAATAGCCTAATAGAATACCAACACAAAGTAGAAATTCTCCGGCCTTTACTCTTTCCATGTGGAAACAAGGAAATGGATCAATTGTGGGTTCCATCCAGCACTCATTAGCAGCTCAGCCGGGGTAATTGCTTATCTCCAACAGTGACCTAATTTTTTCAGGTCATGAAAGGAAGCCTCACTAGCTCATCATGAACTTTTTTATTTTTATTTATTTATTTATTTATTTTATAATACATTTTCGGAGTTAGTGTTGATGAGGTGCATGGTGCAATTGATATATTACTGAATATATTTCAAGAACTTTTTATTAATTGTACAACTTAGTTTGGTAGGGATGGAATTTGGGGTAGGGGGAAATGATTTCTCGTCCTGCTCCTTAAAACTATTCCTATCTCCATTCTTGACTCCTATTCTTATTAGGGGACCATATCCGTACTCGTCTCATTCTTCGTCTAATATAACTACTCATTTTAGAATTATAATAATATAAAATCAAAATAAAAATTTATAGTTCAATCAAAATTAAAGGTTGCACTAATCAACTAAATTCTAAATATATGCACACTAAATATTAATAATAAAGCTACAAAAAAACTAATTATATTTATTTAAAAAGTTATTTTTTATATTTTAATTTACATTAAATATATACTTATATGAATATCGAGTAGGAGGAGGACATGGAACGCTTCCCCCATTTTTAGCTTGCTATGACTCGGGACAAGATTTAGTCCCATTCCCGCCTCCATTCTAAATTATTGTCATACATTCGGTCCTTTTTTGAGTGAGTCTTCGCGGTTTCCCGTCCCCATAGAAAATAATACCATCTTTAGATTGGTTTTGTTTTGTTTTGTTTTTTTTTTTAAAGTAATAGTTCTAGTTGCCGTGGAAAACAAATTAATTTTCTTTTGTTTTTTTTTTTTTTTTTTTTTTTGAAGAAACTACCAGCAATTTTTTTTCCTTATAGCTGCTATGCATGCTTTTTCAAAAGATATGATAATACCAAATGGAGCTTATAACGTACGTGTAAATTGTTATTACTCAATTAATTAGATATAAGTTTTTTATCTATAAATTTAACAATACATGCCTATAAAATGATTGTACAATTGTTAAAGTTAGTATGCAATAATTAGTAGACAGAAAGTTTCTCCAAAAAAAAAAAAAAATAGAAAAGAGGTAAATAGTTAAAGATTGAAGCAAATGCATAATTGGCGTCTTTTTTTGGGGATGGCTCTCCATAGAATGATGGGTCTCTCTCTCTTTTTTTTTTTTTTGAAAAAAAAAACCGCAAAAGGTATGATCTATGATGGGTCTCTCACTAGTCCACGTAAATGAATGTGTTGCGTATTCCGTAGTAAACAGATATATTTAATTTTTAGGGATAATATATCAATGCATAACTTAAAAAATATATAAATTTAACGATTAAAAAATTTAATCTATCACCATATTTAGTAGAGGATCTTCATAATTTTTATTTGCTTAAAAAAGAACTGCTGACTGTCATTGTTTGTAAAGTGTTGTACTGTGCATTAATTTTAAATTACATTTATTAACAACCATTAAAGTCCATTCATTCCGTTCGCTGCGTCATTCCAAGTGTGACTTTGTTTATGTACAAAAATTGTAGACCATAAGCTATCACACCCCCGAAACAAAAGAGGCTTTTTATTTTTATTTTTTTTAAGAGTTTAACTTATGAAAGAACAAGTAGAATTTAAAAAACTTAAAAGTATTAAAAGTGCAGGTTTTTAGGAGATAAGTTGATGGGAACCTCCAAAATGAAAAATAAATAAAGGGCTAAGGCCATGGAAGATGTATGGGGTTTGTTCCTACATTTTAAATGAGAGCAAGATAAAAAAAAAAGTAAAAATTTTTATTGTTGTTCATTTTGGTAAATCCAATTTTTAAAGTGTCTCACTGTGGTTTTTTTTTAATAAAATTTTATAGGTTAAATTGATGATTTACCTAATTATCTAGTAGTTTTATTGATAGTAAGTTAGTCAATTACCTGAATTTGTTAAAAAAAACCAATCATCTGTCACAATAGCCATGAATAAGTGATTTTAATAGAAGCTGCGTTTGGCTGATTAACACGAATATCACGACAAATTAGTAAGATAGTTACATATAAACTGTCTCATTTTAAAAACTATAAGTTAGTGGGTTGACAGGCCGAGGTTCTAAATCCATGGTTTACACATGATGCGACAAGATAAAAACACATAAAAAATAAATAAATAAAATTAGGGAGGATGAGTCTTTTTAAGTGTCAAATTTAAATTTATTAGTAACAAACGATACCAATTATTTCAAATTTTCATTTGATTAGATAAACATTGGTATAATAAAGACGTAAATAGTATGGATTGGTGCTTGTGTTTTCTTTACATGCTATATTTTGCTTCGCCTTTCAAAAAGATCATGAAGTGAAATGAAAAATGTCATATGCCCCGAAAAGGGTTGGGTTGACATTTTGCATTTCCAAATTAACATAAATCATAACAAAAGCATTAAGTAATTTTGTTAATAAAAGGAACCTAATACAATACGACTTAATACGAGCTTTTCTTCGTGTATTATCTAATACAGCTGTATTGTTTTAAATTAATTGTATTGTATTATTTTATACAGTACAATGATACAACCAAACACTGTACAACTTTAAAAAAATACATACGGAGTCTTAATACGGCTCGCGTCCCTAAGTAATCTTGTTAATAAAAGGGTTGAGTTATTGATTTTAAAGTACCTTAAAAAGAACAAGATACGTTTCTTTTGAAGAATTTTGCTTAGTGCTTTGTGTTTAATCAATAAGCCCCAAAGTGTTTAGGATCATTTTGCTATCCAAGCAGCCCAAAAAGAGAGGGGTTAATGTGCAATGAGGAGTTTCTTTGGAACACAGAAAGAGCCTCAAATATTGTGTTTATAATAATATTCTAATAACTGCTAGTACATGCATTATACAATAAGTTGTTCTCTCTTTAAGTAGCAATTTCACCTAAGGAAAAAAAAAAAAAAAAAAACGGAGCAACTTCAAGGATAACAATATATTTCTTTCGGTTCAGGCTGGTTTTTAGATTTTCCTCAAGTTGATCAGGTTATGGCTTGATTATTGTAACGCTTGTTTAGTAAGGGGAAAGAAAATAAGAAGGAATGAATGATATATAATTTAGGTGAGAAAAACAGAAAAGTTTTCCCTCCTTTGCTAATTATATTTGGTGCAGATTCTCTTCCCTAGTCTCTCAATATTTCGAGAGATTAAAACTGGAATTCTTTGAAAGATTTGAACGTTAAACAATCATGTGTCAAAATCTTTTCACTAATCTTCTCATCCCTCTCCCTCCTTTTACTTCTCTTTCCTACCAAACAAGCTTTAAAAGGACGTATGTGCTTAAATTATGGATAGTCATTCAGGCTTGAAATTTTTTAAGTAGAGATCCAGATTAATGAAATGATAATTGTTCTGTACAAAATACAAATTATTGGTCCGAGTTACAAACTTTGTGTCTGTATGACTTTAGTTTTTTCCATGTAGAGTTGAAAACCCATATACCTAGTAGGACACACCTTTTAACTATCAGATTTTCGTACATTATCAAATATATATATTTTTTGATTTCGTATAATTATGTTGTGATTTATTTATTTATTTATTTTTTGATACCTATCATAAAATTCTCCCAATTGGTTTAGCCAAACAAGTGAGAGATTTTGCAGTACTTCTTCGGCGAGTGGTTTAGCCCAATTGGAAGTCATCTTATCTAGTGTTACTCTCCTAAGTTTCGTTTTCTTAGTGGGCTCATTAATTTTGAAAGTGGGCTTGTGAGACTTCAAGCTCTGGTTTTGTGAATATCCAGGAGGTAGCCTCCGTTGTGTCGACCAGTTTTCCTTAAAAAAAAAAAAAATTAATAATAATAATAAAATCACTAGCATTTGTCAATGTGAGCATTTGGCTACCTACTGGTTTAAATACCAACTTGTTGCCTTCTGAGTGCAAAGTAAACCACATGCTTGATCCAGCCAAAATAAACAAAATATTTAGGCATTGCTTCAGCTGGATGTTGCTCAGAAAAGCTTTTGTTTGACGGTCCGACAGACCAGTTTGGGCATGTCCTAATGCTTACATATGCCGCCAAAAACTAATCAAGAATGCTAAGGGGGAAAAAAAAAAGTTAATGCCACAAATTGTTATCCTCAACCCCACTTTAGTTTTAACTTTAAAACATCTCACAATTAATTCTTAAAATTTTACCCTATTTCAACTTCAACCATTCTATTAGCCATGTGTTAGATATTTAAAGAAATCTATAAAAATTTAGGACCAAAACATCAAAAGCGTAAGGACTAAAACATTATAAAAAAAAAATAATTCACACAGATGGTCTCCAAACTTTAATTATTTCTAATTTTAATCCATAATTTACACAGATTTTGACAACAACAAATATTTAACACAGAAGTAATAGAAGAACCGAGATTGAAATAAAATAAAACTTCAAAGACTAACTGTGAGATATTTTAAAAGTCAGAGACAAAAATTGGATTGAGGGGTAAAACTTCAAAGGCATTTGTGAAATTAACCCAAAAAGAATCAAGAACATGCAAAAGTATCCAAGGAGTTGGAGACATGGTAAAGTTTTGGATGGACGTAAGATCATACATGCACTAAATTCAAATAATTACAATTAAATACTATACCAGTTCGAAGCTCTGATAGAAAAATACACATACATATAAAATCGAAACAGGTTAAAGCTTCAAAAGCTTTTTTATTTTGGTCCAGAAACTCATCATCTAAGAACAAAAACAACACCCAGCGACTCCTAGGAGAGTTCAACTTCCACAAAATAGTTCGAGTATCCTGCAAATTTGTCCAACCATCACCATCCTGACTACCAGACAACGGCCAAAAAAAAAAAAAAAAAAATCCCACCCTTGAAGTAACATAATAAGCCATACAAGAATATTTGGTAGCAACAGCCACTTCTTATTCTGCTCTGGACTGGCCAGCTCGAGAAGACAATATAATGCCGACAATAAGGCCGTACAAGGCCAGAGCTTCAGCAAAGATGAGAATGAGGATCATACCAACAAAAAGTTTTGGCTGCTGTGCATTAGCTCTGCAAGATAAACCCATTTTAGTTAGATGTGTTACAAACTAATCAAATCTGAGACCAAATAAGACTAAGAATCTTAATCTTCTACTCTTTTGTGAAAGCAAAGAACCAAACAGCTTACTGAACTAGAAACAAACACCAGATCAAGATAGTTATCCATATTCTGAAGAATTTTCTTTCACAATGCTAAAATAAGAAAAAAGTGTACCTGTTTTCCTCGAAAAATCAGGAGTAATATTATCAATTTTTAGTTTTAACTACAATGCACACTTGATAGAACCATAAAATCCCAATGCTTAAATTTATCTTTATTTTTCTACAGACACTGACAATACCAAATTGTCTCCCATTCATTGAAAATAGCTCTCCTTCAAAGCTGACTACGAACCTACAATCTAGATTATTCTAACTCTGAATGATGAAATTCATGCTTACAGTTTCCTCCTCTTTACACAGTTTGACAGACTTGAAAGATTTGGGATTGACTAATTGTATGACCTTTAATAAAGGATTCAAGTTACAACTAATCTGAAAGTTTATCATCCTCTTATCTATCTTGTAAAGTAATATTGCTTCTATTTTGGAAATTCGCCCTTGTAGAGTTTTGTTTATTTTGTGTCAATAATCATTCAAGGTCTTATAAAAAAATAATAATAATAATCAAGCAAGGAGATATTTCAAAAGCTATACTAACAGGTGTCAACAAAAAAATGATATAAGATTTCTGTCTCTAATCCGTAGATTCAAAAATAAATGCAACTATATAACTAGATAATCTAATCAAACATGGATTCATTAACCTCTACTTTATCGCCAAATTAGAGAATGCTTTGATAATCATGACTAGTCCATGGATAGGATAGAATCATACCTAACACCAGCGTCACCAACAATACCAATTGCCATTCCAGCAGAAAGCCCGGCAAGACCACAAGCAAGACCGGACGAAAGATGCGCATAACCATCGAAAAGGTAGTATGACTTGGCCTTTGGGTTAATCCCGGTACTGATAATAACGGCAATAATAAGTCCATAAATACCCAAAACTCCAGCCATAACAACTGGAACAATGGATTTCATCACCAGCTCTGGCCTCATCACACCCATAGAAGCCACACCTACACCACTCTTTGCCGTACCGTACGCAGCTCCCATACCTATGCAGCCAAGATTCACACCAAAAACAGTAAGCTTCAATCGAATTTCAGAGATCTGAATCTAAACAAAAAAAAAAAAAAAAGATTTTAAAAATCCAAACTCCTGGATCAAACCAAATAGCTAAAAAGAAAAAAATTGCTATCTCCCAAGTCTATTAGATCTAGTAGCCTAAAATGAGTGACAACACACACACACACACACACACACACACACATAAGATCTAAGCTAGAAAACACTAAATCCTTGTCGTTTTCAAAACCACAAACTTAATTTGCATTAAATAAAATACAATCTCTTCTCTACTGGTTCCAAATTATGGAATAATATCAGGTTCTGAACTCAAATCAGATCACGAATCACAACAATAAACCTTCAATTAGCTTCGACCAATTGCAGAACAATAACAATAGATCATCCAAAACAATTATCGGAAACAATGAAACATAAACATAAAAATATTCTAGTTCCTTTATTTTCCTGGAAAGCAAACAGATCCAAATTCCAAAACTGTAGGTAAGGATAGAAAATTTGAGGGATTAGGGTTAGGGCATAGTTACAGGAGAAAACAAGAGCGGCAGCGGCACCGAGGAAGCCGAAGAACGGTGCCGTTTCATCGCCGGAGAAGGTGGACGACATTTTTGGAGGTAGATCTGAGACGACGTCGTGTGGATCTCAAAGGGCTTCGGTTCTTCACGGAGAGCTTCGCAGCCTCGTTCTCTCTCTCTCTCTCTCTCTCTCTCTGTGGTCTAATGCTTCCGTGTTCCAATAAAGCCTTTGAAAAAACTAAATGTGGCCTGTGGGCTTGTTGGGCTCACGGAATCTTAGGAGAAAGGGGAAGGAGATAAATAGCTTTGAGAAAATTGCTAACTTAGGCCGTATTTTTATCTCTTATTTTTTATTAATAATTTTTTAATTAATGTAATTATTTAATTAAAAAGAATATTAATTTAAAATTTGTTGATTAATATAATTATTTAATTAAAATATATATTAATTAAGAGGAATAGAGTAATTATGATAAAATTTATATTCATTTATTTTAAAGAATATTTATCTCTTTTTATCAGACTTTAAGTATGTTTGGAACCCAAATTTTAGGAGGAAAAATAAAAAAAAAATTGAAAGATTTATATTTTCCTGTTTGGAACAAAGAAAAAATGGTGAAAAATTTTTTGACGAAAATTTGAGAAAAATTTAAAATGTAAAATTTGAATTTTATTTTCTTAAAGAAAGAGTGAGGAAAATCAAAATCCAAATTTTATTTCACAAATCTCTCTTTATCTCTCACTTCACACACTTTCCCCCGGCTATTTCTCTTCATCCTCTCTCTTCACGTTCTCCCTCTCTTCACTCTCTTTTCTGCTCATTATTTCTGCCCCTCTCTCCTCTCTCTCGCACAACTCCTTCTCTTTCTCTCTTCCTCCCACAACTCTCTGTTCTCTCTATTGCATAACTCTCTGTCCTTCTCTCTCCCGCGCCCATCTCCCCCTTTTTTCTCTCCTTCACCCATCCCTCTTGCACTCTCTCTCTCCTCTTCCCCGCTTTCGTCCTCAACCGTGATCTGTCTTCTCCGGCAAGATATGTTGTAGTCATCTAGTCACCTTTGTACGCTGTGAGTTTGCCTACACCACAATCGTCCACCACGCCGGTGCTCGTAGCGGAGTCATCCTCCATCTGATCGTATGTTTTTCAAAACTTTTCATTTCTTATCTATAAATTTTCTTAAGGTTCCAAACAACGTGGAATTGTTTGTCCCATTCTTTTCTTTTCCCTTCAAATCTGCCCCACAAAATCCTGGTTTAAACGGGGTCTTAGAGTGTTTTCAAACGGGGTCTTAGAGCTCCACCACGCCGGAGCTCGTAGCGGAGTCGTCCTGGTTGTATGTTTTTCAAAACTTTTCGGGCTCGTTGTTTTTGAGTGAAAAACTCAAAAAAAGACAACTCGAGTTATAATTTTATTCGAGTTCATGTTCTTTTAAGTTTAAATTCGAGTTTAGGAACTCGAGTTTAGGACTAAAACTCGAGTTCAAGTTTCCCCTTCAACTCGAGTTCAGAAACTCAAACTCATATTAATAAACAGTATTTTTTCTATTCTTAAAAATGCTATAACTTTTTCGTTTTAATTCTGATTGAGATGATTTTTTTTCTATGCGTTGACAACGAAAAAATGAATAAAACCCGACCCATATACCCTATTAAAATTTTTCATCAGCATTGAGTTTTTATTAAAATACTATATAAATATAAATTCAAGTTTTGACTCACTCAAAAAGATTCTTATCTCAAACCATAACTCAAATGTATATAACCAAACACAAACTCAAGTTACAAGTTCAACTCAAGTTATAAATTAAATTCAACTCAAGAATTATACTCAAATTAAACTCCAAAAGAACAAGCCATTCATTTCTTATCTATAAATTTTCTTAAGGTTCCAGGAATTTTTTATCCCATTCTTTATTTATTTTCCCTTCAAATCTTCCCCCCAAAATCCTGGTTTCAAATGGATTCTTAGAGTGAATGTGTCTAAATTTTTTATTCTTTATTATTGATTAATATATTTTTTAGTTAAATAATTATATTAGTGAAAATGTATTAATCAAAAGTAGAAATAATTTAGATTTATACACTCTAAAAATAAGTTTAATAATTTTTTTATAATTTTATAATTATGTTTAAAAGACAGAGATACTACGGGTGCGTTTGGAATTGGTTCTAAAATGATTTTGTTTTCTGTATGAAAATAGAAATGAAAACGTTTTCATTTTCATTTTGAAATTATTTCTGAAATGCGTTTGGTAGTTTTATTCAGAGATTGATTTCAGTTTTAAAAAAAACTGAAACTGCATTTAGTGATTTAATTTTTAAAAACATGTAATAATATTTAAAATAATAATATATTAAATAAATAATATTATTAAATATATTAAATAATAATATATTAAATGAATGTGTTGCGTATTCCATAGTAAACAGATATCCTTAATTTTTAGGGATAATATATCAATGCATAACTTAAAAAATATATAAATTTAACGATTAAAAAAATATAATCTATCACCATATTTATTAGAGAATCTTCATAATTTTTATTTGCTTAAAAAAGAACTGCTGACTGTGATTGTTTGTAAAGTGTTGTTCTGTGCATTAATTTTAAACTACATTTATTAACAACCATGAAAGGCCATTCATTCCGTTCGCTGCGTCATTCTAAGTGTGACTTTGTTTATGTACACAAATTGTAGACCATAAGCTATCACTATTATCACAACCCCGAAACAAAAGATCTTTTTTTTTCCCCCCTGGAATAACAAGAAAAAGTGTTTAACTTATGAAAGAACACGTAGAATTTAAAAAACTTAAAAGTATTAGAAGTGCAGGTTTTTAGGAGATAAGTTGATGGGAACCGCCAAAATGAAAAATTAATAAAGGGCTAAGGCCAAAGAAGATGTATGGGGTTTGTTCCTACATTTTAAATGAGAGCAAGATAACAAAAAAAAAAAAAAGTACAATTTTTTATTGTTATTCATTTTGGTAAACCCAATTTTTAAAGTGTCTCACTGTGGTTTTTTTTTTTTAATTAAACTTGTATAGGTTAAATTGATGAGTTACCTAATTATCTAGTAGTTTTATTGATAGTAAGTTAGTCAATTACCTGAATTTGTTAAAAACAACCAATCATATGTCACAATAGGCTGATTAACACGAATATCACGACAAATTAGTAAGATAGTTACATATAAACTGTCTCATTTTAAAAAACTACAAGTTAGTGGGTTGACAGGCCGAGGTTCTATTTCCAATTTTCCATGGTTTACACATGATGCGACAAGATAAAAACACAAAAAAATAAAATAAAATAAAGTTAGGGAGGATGAGTCTTTTTAAGTGTCAAATTTAAATTTATTAGTAACAAACAATACCAATTATTTCCACTTTTCATTTGATTAGATAAACATTGGTATAATAAAGACGTAAATAGTATGGATTGGTTCTTGTGTTTTCTTTACATGCTATATTTTGCTTCGCCTTTCAAAAAGATCATGAAGTGAAATGAAAAATGTCATATGCCCCGAAAAGGGTTGGGTTGACATGCATTTCCAAATTAACATAAATCATAACAAAAGCATTAAGTAATCTTGTTAATAAAAGGAACCTAATACAATACGATGTATGTCGTATATTATCTAATATAGCTATATTGTTTTAAATTAATTGTGTTGTATTATTTTATACAATACAATGATACAACTTTAAAATAATACATACGGAGTCTTAATACGGCTCACGAAACACGCCCTAAGTAATCTTGTTAATAAAAGGGTTTTGAGTTATTGATTTTAAAGTACCTGTATTTTTTTAGTACCTTAAAAAGAACAAGATACGTTTCTTTTGAAGAATTTTGCTTAGTGCTTTGTGTTTAATCAATAAGCCCCAAAGTGTTTAGGATCATTTTGCTATCCAAGCAGCCCAAAAAGAGAGGGGTTAATGTGCAATGAGGAGTTTCTTTGGAACACAGAAAGAGCCTCAAATATTGTGTTTATAATAATATTCTAATAACTGCTAGTACATGCATTATACAATAAGTTGTTCTCTCTTTAAGTAGCAATTTCACCTAAGGAAAAAAAAAAAAAAAAAACGGAGAAACTCCAAAGAAAACAATATATTTCTTTCGGTTCAGGCTGGTTTTTAGATTTTCCTCAAGTTGATCAGGTTATGGCTTTATTATTGTAACGCTTGTTTAGTAAGGGGAAAGAAAATAAGAAGGAATGAATGGTGTATAATTTAGGTGAGAAAAACAGAAAAGTTTCCCTCCTTTGGTAATTATATTTGGTGCAGATTCTCTTCCCTAGTCTCTCAATATTTGGAGAGATTAAAACTGGAATTCTTTGAAAGATTTGAACGTTAAACAATCATGTCTCAAAGTCTTTTCACTAATCCTCTCATCCCTCTCCCTCCTTTTACTTCTCTTTCCTACCAAACAAGCTCTAAAAGGACGTATGTGCTTAAATTATGGATAGTTATTCAGACTTGAAATTTTTAAGTAGAGATCCAGATTCAAGAAATGATAATTGTTCTGTACAAAATACAAATTATTGATCCGAGTTACAAACTGTGTCAAACCTGTATGACTTTAGTTTTTCCCATGTAGAGTTGAAAACCCAAATACCTAGTAGGAGTAGGACACACCTTTTAACTATCAGATTTTCGTACATTATCAAATACATATATATTTTGATTTCATATAATTATGTTGTGATTTATTTATTTATTTATTTTGATACCTATCATAAAACTCTCCCAATTGGTTTAGCCAAACAAGTGAGAGATTTTGCAGTACTTGTTTGGCGAGTGGTGGTGGTGGTGCATTAGTCTAGTGGAAGTCATCTTATCTAGTGTTACTCTTCTTAGTTTCGTTTCCTACAAGTGGATCCCTAGATCCAGCGATGTTAGCGCTCATCAATTTTGAAAGTGGGCTTGTGAAACTTCAAGCCAGTTTTCCTTAGTTGGATGAAGCACTTTCAGATAAAAAAAAAAAAAATAATAATAATAAAAAATCACGGGAGAGATTTATGTGCGTAATTGGGGGCTCTTCCGCAGTCCATTTTTTAGTTAAAAACTCAAAAAAAAAAAAAAAATTCGAGTTACAACTTTATTTAAGTTCATGTTCTTTTAAGTTTGAACTCGAGTTTAAATTTTCCCTTTAACTCGAGTTTAAAAACTCAAACTCAAATTAATAAACAGTATTTTTTATATTCTTAAAAATGCTATAAATTTTTTGTTTTAATTCTGATTGAGATTATTTTTTTCTATGCGTTGACAACGAAAAGACGAA